TGTCTCCTGTCTCTAACCAAGAAGTCTCCTCTGAGTTCTCCTGGCCAAGAGTCCTTGATGTGCCTCCATGGCATTGGCTAATCCGGGTTCCATTTTCACGGACCGTTTGGGGCCTGGTGGGAGCCTTTACTGGCCTGTCAGTCAACAGAAGGAGCCTTTTACAGCAAAACCTTTTGAAAGTAGGCACAACGGAATTTGTTCGAGTCGCGAGGCGCTTTTCTTTCAAAGCAGGAAAACGAGAAGTTTTCAAAAGAATTCTCCGTCGCCGGCTGCTTTCTTACCACAGCTATTCGGCTTGTTCTGTTATTTTAGTTCCTGTCAGAGACATTCAGATTGATTATTCACACAGATGAAGACAAGGCGGTGGGATACACCCCTGTCGGGCAACTCTTGCGGCAGAGAGAGAAAGGGAAGGGCAGAAGGGCCGCGAGTCTCTTTTTACAACCGTTTATCTTCCTTCCAAACTGAACGCCGGTCCTCCAGGCACCCGTTCCCTGCGCAGCTTCCATGACACATAAACAAGGCAAACAGCCATTGTGGATGAATGTGTTTATTTTATTTTATTTTGAAAGCGAATAGCCACTGGGCATTGAGATTGTGAAGCTTATTTTTTCCTCCCTTCAATTGAGGCTCAATCTGCAGACTGCTTGGGCACCAGAGAAGGGAATGGATGCGCACAGAAGCATCCCAGCGTCTCTGGATCCTGCTTCCGAAAAGAAAAATTCATCTTACCATGCCTGCAGTGATGCAACGGACGCTGTGTTTCTAAGGGGATGGAAAACAGCCGATCAGATTTGAGCAGGATTCTGGTCAGGGGCTTCCCGCGTTGTGCCTGCTGTGGGAAGGCACTGGGAGGCACAAAGTAAATGCGGAAGGTGGAAGAACTGGTCTCAGGCATAGCTGTTAACTTTTCTCTTTTCTTGCGAGGAATCCTATTCGGAATAAGGGAAATTCCCTTAAAAAAAGGAACACGTTGACAGCTATGGTTTCAGGATGTGCTATTTGTGTGAACCTTTAAAAACATAGGTTGGGAAGTGTGATCCTTGACTGCAGCAACGTCACAGGCACTAGCCAATGTATGCCCACGACACCCACAGGCAAAACTGCAGAATCAGGTTTCTTGTCCTCCTTCTGGGAAGGCAGTATTGTACAGTGGTACCCCTGGATACGCACACCTCCGGTTGCGTATCCTTCAGGATGTGAACGCAGCAAACCCAGAAGTATTTTCCCGGATTTTCCTGCATGTGCATGCTCAGAAGCACTCTATCGTGCCCTGCACGCATGCGTAGAAGCAGTCTACCGCTGCGCATGCATGCACAGAAGTGGTCCCTCCAGTTGAGGAAACCTCGGGATCCGACCGGAGCTCTGGAACAGATCCTGTCCGCAACTGGAGGTACTGTCACCATTTCACTCTTCCTTGGTCCAAAAACAGCTGGTGACCCAAGTTTGGGAAACAATACCCTAGAGCACTGGCTTTTGAATCCTGGGTAAAGTAGCTAGGCGAAAAAGAGAACATCTTTAGTAGCTGCCTAGCAGAGGGGGTGTTTCAGCGCATCATCTTCCCACTCTCTTTGTGCACAAGAGCACATTCCCCCACGAGAGAAGATGCAGCAAATGCGCATTTATTTCAATAAGTTTTTCTCCCCTGCGTTTAGGCCATGTCCTGGAACGCTGTTCTCAGAAGCTGGTGAGAAGTAGTCCCTGTTTTCATTTGACAGTCAGAAAATAAATTAATTGGTAGGTCTTCTCCCTTTAGATGAAACATAATTAACTATTTGGAACAGTCCCACTTGAGGGAGAGGGGAAGGGGAAAAAATACATTTCAATTTAAAAACAATCTACTTTATTAAGTTAAAATTCAATTCTAGGTTTTCATTACAGGAATCCGCCTGCAAGCAGGCTGCTGGTTATTCACATCTGCGTGGAGATACCCGAGTGAACATGGTACGCCACCGAAGGCATTGTTTACCTCTCAGAGGGGAAAGAAGAAATCTGGAAATGTAATTTCATCATCCAGTTCAGAAGTAGTCAACTTGGTGCCCACAAGACACTGCTGGACTCCAGCTCCCAGTCCAGGAGTTTCTTTAAACTCTTTATTCCATAGCATTTATTTAACACCACTGGGTTGTAAAGAGAGGGGGGGACCCCTAAAAACAGTTTACCAAAAGATAAAACTATAAAATTATCAATAATAAAAATAAACAGCAAATGTTCAAGGCTTTAGAAAATGGAGCAAGCTTGTTTTCTCCTTCTCTGGAAGGCAGGACTCGAACTCAGGACTTCAAATTACAAGAAAAGAGATTCCGACTGAACATCAGGAAGAACTTTCTGACAGTAAGAGCTGCTGGACAGTGGAACAGACTCCCTCGGGAGGTGGTGGACTCTCCTTCCTTGGAGGTTCTGAAGCAGAGGTCGGATGACCATCTGTCATGGATGCTTTAGCTGAGATTCCTGTATTGCAGGGGGTTGGGCTGGATGACCCTCAGGGGTCCCTTGCAACTCTATGATTCTATGCAAATTATAGACTGAAAAGAGATTTAAACTCGCACCATCTTTCGAAATATCTGGTTAGGCTTGTCTATACAAACATGCTTTTAGCAGGCACCAGAAAAAGTAGCATGACTGCGTCTGCCTGATGTCAATAGGCGGGGAGTTCCAAAGTGTAGGCCATGGGTAGGCAAACTAAGGCCCGGGGGCCAGATCCGGCCCAATCGCCTTCTAAATGCGGCCCGCGGATCCAGAATTGGCCTCCACAGTCACTTACGGACTCACTGTTAAGACCGTGTTCGTGGAAGACCATCTTACTCGGCTATGAGTGATCACCAAATAAAGAAGAGAGCATAGCCCTCTCTTCCCCACCCAGGACTGAATAAAGCAAGATGTGTGCTCTATTTGGAGAACAGCCATTGCCCAAGGTTCATGGACTTTGAAGATGCTCGAACTCAGGACGAAAGGGAGAAACATGCTAAGAGCAGGGGTAGGCAAACTAAGGCCCGGGGATGGGGACGGCCAAATCGCCTTCTCAATCCAGCCCGCGGACAGTCCGGGAATCAGCGTGTTTTTACATGAGTAGAATGGGTCCTTTTATTTAAAATGCATCTCTGGGTTATTTCTGGGGCATAGGAATTTGTTCATATTTTTTTCCAAGATATAGTCCGGCCCCCCACAAGGTCTGAGGGACAGTGGACCGGCCCCCTGCTGAAAACGTTTGCTGACACTTGGTGTAGATGCTGCCATACTAAAAGATTGAGTTCTTACAGATGCGGAATGGGGATTCCTGTAAGCGCTGTGAAGCTGGGCCTGAAACCTGTTGTTGGGGTACTGCCAGGGAGATGGAGGCATCAGGCAGGCCCCCAGTTGATTCCGGATGATCACCAGTCTCCCGTGGAACAGCATCAATCAATTAGCGACACGAGCCTCAGAGACGTTCCAAGACCCATGCACACCCTTTTAGCAGAGTGCGTAAGTCTCCACAACGAAAGATGCAGACAGGAGAGCATATTTACAACTTTATTCAACGTAGTTCAGAACAAAGGAAAAACATGACTGCTTGCTTCCGTGTCCAGGAAAACAGCCAGAATACAAAAGCTATATACAAAACGGAAGTTCCCAGCGAGAACTGGAAGTAAACAGGCATGTAATATACAGTCATGCCTGCTCCTTTTAAGGTGGAATGGAACTATATCCTAACATACGAGACACCTCTAGCAGTGCCAGTTTCCCAGACTGAAGAGGTCAAGTGGCCACATATGGGTTAAGGCGACCTTGCAGGTAAACTGATCCCTAGCCATTAAGGGCTTCAAATACTAACGATTACGCCATTTTGGCTATGCCTGGTCCAATTCTGTTATGTACTGAAGTTCTCACCCTGGGTCAGCAGGGGGATACTGTAGATAGTTTTCACTCAGGTCCACTTATGCAAATAAGGAATTGAAAGTGACGTTCAGTGATTGGATAGATACAGAAAGTTGTTACTGTTGCTTTGTAGTGGGGCTTTATATAAGCAGGCTGGCTGAACCCTTCAGCCCAGTTCTGTTCTGGGCCTGTGAATAAACAAGAGCTGTTTGAAGAATCGCTATGTCGTCTGATATGTTCACCCACAACTTAACAAATTCCTTTTGCTTTCCCGTTTCCTTTCCAGTCGTGTCCCCAGTCCATCTCTGGCGTTCTCCCCCCAGAGAGCTTGACTTGGCGCTATGTCTGGAAACACACGTAGCAGATGAAAGCCCTTTTATCATCTCAGGCCTTTTAGATGTATTGACCTCTTCCTTCTCGCACTTCAGGCTTGCTGTGTTTTCAATTTGCTTTTTTTGATGTCTTTTCTTTATATTAAGTCTCTTACTCTGAGGGATATTAACTTCTCTTGTGAGGCACTCTAGGAATCCTTGGGGACCGCAGAGCAGAGGATAAACACTCAAAGCAAACAGAGAAACCTGCCCTTGCTCTGAATGAGCTAGCTTTGCCCTCACTCGTGCCAACATATAGCCAAATCCAACTAGCTTATGCAACATTGTTATGATACTGTCGCATTCGGTTCTGGGCAGCACAATTTAAGAAGGATGTTGACAAGCTGGAACGTGTGCAAAGGAGGGTAACGAAGATGATTAAGGGTTTGGAAACCAAGCCTGATGAGGAACAGTTGAAGGAACTGGGTAAATGACAAATAAGAAGTTTCTGACTAAACATTAGGAAGAACTTTCTCAATTTTTTTGACGATAATTTTTATTATTTTTCAGTTACAATAATCCAACGGTAGCCTCATTATAACAATGCCAAATTATAACACAGTTACTAATCCCAATCATTCGGATGCCAAATTACCGTATTTTTTGCTCCATAACACTCACTTTTTTCCACCTAGAAAGTAAGGGGAAATGTCTGTGCGTGTTATGGAGGGAATGCCTACGGATGGCGGGGGGGATCTGCTGCAGTCGTGAGCAGAGGATCCATGGTTCCCCTTCCTTCCCTCCTCCGTGGCTCGCTTTGAAACAGCAAAGCGGGAGAAGAGCTGCTGAGTGGGGAGGAGAGAGGGACAGAGAGCCTGCTTGCTTTAAAGGAGCAAAGCGGGAGAGGAGAGGAGCCACTTACACGAGTGTAAGCGGCTCGTGTCCGGTTGGCTCCTTTAAAGCAAGCAGACTCTCTGTCCCTCTCTCCTCCCCACTCAGCTGGCTAAATAGCAGCAAAGTTTTTCAGCGAGCTGTGGAGGAGGGAGAGAAGCAGAGCCTGCTTGCTTTAAAAGGAGCAAAGCGGGAGAGGAGAGGAGCCTTCTCCTCTTATACCCCTCTCCTGCATTATTAGCAGCATCCTTCTCCACACACCCCACGCGTGCTCCTTGTCCCTTGAGTGCTTTTCCTTCCCTCCCCACTTAAAACGTGGTTACAAAGCATGGATCCACATGGATCCTCAGGATTTTTGCACTGGGTCACCCCAAATTCACCATCAGATCACATAGCATGTTCATGGCTACAGCTTGCCCCCAAAAAAATCACGCACCCACTGTTGCCTGGGGCCACAGTGGTGCAAAAACGTGGTTACAAAGCACGGATCCACATGGATCCTCAGGATTTTTGCATTGGGCTACCCCAAACTCACCGTCAGATCACATGTCTGTGACCACAGCATGAACCACAAAAATCATACATCCACTGTTTGGTTTAGAATATTTTTTTCTTGTTTTCCTCCTCTAAAAACTATGTGCGTGTTATGGTCGGGTGCGTGTTATAGAGCGAAAAATACGGTATATAATTTAGGCGGCCTCCCACGTGCTGGAATTGATGGCTTGATGATTTTCTTTATTACTGCATCCCAAAATCTTATTCATCTCAATTACGATCCATTCAAAATAACAATCGCTTATATGACAACTGCAATATTAATGACTTCCATCCGTCGTGACACATCAAATGATTTACAAAGCATTCAAACTATACCCTTATTCCTCCTGTGTGTGACAATTATTCTGTCCCTGGTGTTCCTTCCTGTCCGTGTAAAATGTTATGCCTATCTTTCTGCAGCCGTTGCTGCTCCCCATCATGTCTTATTATTATTGGGCGGAACTACCTTACTTTTCTGTGTATAAGACAAGGGGGGTTTTTATTAAAAAGAGAATGTTAAGAAATGGGACTCGTCTTATAGACGGGTATTGAATTGAGGGACCAGGTGAGTGCTTGCATCAGCAAGCTGCACCTTGTAAGCGGCAATTTGGTGGGTGGTGGTTGGATGTGTCCAGGGCTGCCTTGGATTGGCTGCTCCGGCATTAATAGGGCAGGTGATTGGTTGCTGCGTCCAGGGCTGCCTTGGATTGGCTGCTCCTGCATTAATAGGGCGGGTGATTGGTTGCTGTGTCCAGGGCTGCCTTGGATTGGCTGCTCCTGCGTTAATAGGGCGGGTGATTGGTTGCTGCGTCCAGGGCTGCCTTGGATTGGCTGCTCTGGCGTTAATAGGGCGGGTGATTGGTTGCTGCGTCCAGGGCTGCCTTGGATTGGCTGCTCCTGCGTTAATAGGGCGGGTGATTGGTTGCTGCGTCCAGGGCTGCCTTGGATGTCCATTCCAACAGCAAGTTATACATCCTTGAAAGTACCTTAATCTTTGGTTCTAACAATTCTGTTTCTAGTTTCGATTTCTCCACCTGGAACCCTAATTTCTGTAAGCGGCAATTTGGTGGGTGATGGTTGGATGTGTCCAGGGCTGCCTTGGATTGGCTGCTCTGGCGTTAATAGGGCAGGTGATTGGTTGCTGTGTCCAGGGCTGCCTTGGATTGGCTGCTCCTGCGTTAATAGGGCGGCCGATTGGTTGCTGCGTCCAGGGCTGCCTTGGATTGGCTGCTCCTGCGTTAATAGGGCGGGTGATTGGTTGTTGCGTCCAGGGCTGCCTTGGATTGGCTGCTCCAGCATTAATAGGGCAGGTGATTGGTTGCTGTGTCCAGGGCTGCCTTGGATTGGCTGCTCCTGCGTTAATAGGGCGGGTGATTGGTTGCTGCGTCCAGGGCTGCCTTGGATTGGCTGCTCCTGCGTTAATAGGGCGGGCGATTGGTTGCTGCGTCCAGGGCTGCCTTGGATTGGCTGCTCCTGCGTTAATAGGGCGGGTGATTGGTTGCTGCGTCCAGGGCTGCCTTGGATTGGCTGCTCCGGCATTAATAGGGCAGGTGATTGGTTGCTGCGTCCAGGGCTGCCTTGGATTGGCTGCTCCTGTGTTAATAGGGCGGGTGATTGGTTGCTGTGTCCAGGGCTGCCTTGGATTGGCTGCTCTGGCGTTAATAGGGTGGGCGATTGGTTGCTGTGTCCTGGGCTGCCTTGGATTGGCTGCCGCTGTGGCAATTGGGCGTTTGGTTTCTGGCTCGTGTTTGCAAACAGGCAGACGCTTGTCGGCTTCTGCGCGACGTGAGCGCTTCTGAGCTACTGTCATTAGAGTTAGTGATTTTCAGGAATAACACCCCCCCAAAAAAACACAAAAAAACCCCTCAACAACCCTGGGCCATCCTTCCCCAAAAAAACCTTAAAAACTCTGGTAATATAATCATCTCCCCCGATTTTCTTAAATTTTAGTCTCCAAAAATAGGGGGCGTCTTATACATGGGGGCGTGTTATAAACGGGAAAATACGGTAATATCCCATTATTGTTTCAGAAGTTCTCTATTGCTCCTCCGGCGGAGCAACGGGATTAGGAAGAACTTTCTGACAGTAAGAGCTCTTTGAGAGTGGAACAGATTCCCTGGGAAGGCAGTGGGCCCTCCTTCCTTGGAGGTTTTTAAGCAGAGGTCGGACGTCCATGCTTTAGCCGAGATTCCTGCATTAATAATAATAATAGATTATATTTACATCCTGCCCTTCCCGGTTTAAAAACTGGGCTCCGGGTGGCTAACAGCAAATATAAAACACTGATTAAAATGCGACTTAAAAACAGCATAAAATACAAGATAAAATGCAGCATCAATATCAATAAAATTCAAAAATTCAGGGGTCATTGGGGGAGGGGAACCCAGTCAGTAGACATCAAGTGACCACCAGGGCTAACTGGCCAAGTTGGTCCTACCAGGGCCAGCAAGGAGACCAGGGAAGAATTTAAATGTGGGGTCCCAGAAAGGGTTTCTTCATAGAAGAGGAAAGGGAAAAGGGAACAGAGGATCAGGCTGAATTCAAATTAAAGGCCAGGTGGAATAGCTCTGTCTTACAGGCCCTGCAGAAGGAGGTTAAATCCTGCAGGGCCCTGGTCGCATGGGACAGAGCATTCCACCAGGTTGGAGCCATCACTGAGAAGGCCCTGGCCCTGGTGGAGGATAGTCTGGCTTCCTTAGGGCCCGGGACCTTTAAGCTATTATTATTCATGGACCTTGGGGTCCTCTGTGGGGCAGACCAGGAGAGGTGGGTTAGACTAGATGACCCTTCCAACTCTACAACTTTGTGATTTTATGACCCTTTAGGTCTCTAGGATGATGGACTCAAGGGCATCCTGATCAAATTTGCAGATGACACCAAACTGGGAGGGGTGGCTAACACCCCAGAGGACAGGATCACACTTCAAAACGACCTTGACAGATTAGAGAACTGGGCAAAAACAAACAAGATGAATTTTAACAGGGAGAAATGTAAAGTATTGCACTTGGGCAAAAAAAAATGAGAGGCACAAATGCAAGATGGGGGACACCTGGCTTGAGAGCAGTATATGTGAAAAGGATCTAGGAGTCTTGGTTGACCACAAACTTGACATGAGCCAACAGTGTGACACGGCAGCTAAAAAAGCCAATGCAATTCTGGGCTGCATCAATAGGAGTATAGCATCTAGATCAAGGGAAGTAATAGTGCCACTGTATTCTGCTCTGGTCAGACCTCACCTGGAGTACTGTGTCCAGTTCTGGGCACCACAGTTCAAGAAGGACACTGACAAACTGGAACGTGTCCAGAGGAGGGCAACCAAAATGGTCAAAGGCCTGGAAACGATGCCTTATGAGGAACGGCTAAAGGAGCTGGGCATGTTTAGCCTGGAGAAGAGGAGGTTAAGGGGTGATATGATAGCCATGTTCCAATATATAAAAGGATGTCACATAGAGGAGGGAGAAAGGTTGTTTTCTGCTGCTCCAGAGAAGCGGACACGGAGCAATGGATCCAAACTACAAGAAAGAAGATTCCACCTAAACATTAGGAAGAACTTCCTGACAGTAAGAGCTGTTCGACAGTGGAATTTGCTGCCAAGGAGTGTGGTGGAGTCTCCTTCTTTGGAGGTCTTTAAGCAGAGGCTTGACAACCATATGTCAGGAGTGCTCTGATGGTGTTTCCTGCTTGGCAGGGGGTTGGACTCGATGGCCCTTGTGGTCTCTTCCAACTCTAGGATTCTATGATTCTATGATTCTTCCAGCTCTTCAGTTGTGCTAACTGGCTACCATCTTCAGTGGTAGGGTTTTTGGTGGGCTGTTTTGGACCATGAGAAAACACTGCTTTCAGCCTGAAGGTGGGAATGGGTGGACATTTGACGCAGCACTGGAAGTACTGGTATTTGGTGCAGTTCGGAGGATTTCTGCTAAATTGAAAAGTTGACAGTCTGCATCAATATATATGGACTGGGGAATAAACATGGGGGGGGGGGATTTTCAGGTAGCGAAACTGCCCAATATGCACCTTCCAAAGCACTGCACGAAGTCCTGTAAAATCCACACTTCTACAAATTTTGCAATGCTATTTTCCCAGCAAAGAGGTGCACCTTAGGGGAAAGTGTAATAATAAGAAATTGTTATTTAGGGGAACTGAATTTAATTCTAAATTATATTCCGGAAACGTGGGAGATTTCAAGGGGTCCAAAAAAAATGGATGTACCGTGCTATATTAGAAGCAAAAAACCTTGTTTTGATTAATTGGTAGAGCCACAAAAAGATTCATAGAATCATAGAATCATAGAGTTGGAAGAGACCACAAGGGCCGTCGAGTCCAACCCCCTGCCAAGCAGGAAACACCATCAGAGCACTCCTGACATGTGGTTGTCAAGCCTCTGCTTAAAGACCTCCAAAGAAGGAGACTCCACCACACTCCTTGGCAGCAAATTCCACTGTCAAACAGCTCTTACTGTCAGGAAGTTCTTCCTAATGTTTAGGTGGAATCTTCTTTCTTGTAGAGCACATGGATTGATAATATGGACAGATTAGCTACATACGAATGAATTGCATGTCAACGCAAATTAAGAATGGA